TGATCGCACCACTGCACTCGAGCCTGGGCAACAGAGCAAGACCCTGTCTCAAAAACGGGGTGGGGGGGAGTCTATAATAAAAAGTTTATTTTTTTTTATCAGAGTATATTTATATTTATTTTTAGCCAGCCTCTAAACTCATCCAGAGCCACATACAGCTTGAGTACTTTGTTTTACCCAGATAGTTGTAAAGATGTGGTACCTGCTATTGTTAATTTTCTTTTTTTTGTTTTTTTTTGTTTTGTTTTTGAGACGGAGTCTCGCTCTGTTGCCCAGGCAGGAATGCAGTGGCGTGATCTCCACTCACTACAGCCTCTGTCTTCTGGGTTCAAGCAATTCTCCTGCCTCAGCCTCCCAAGTACCTGGGACTGCAGGCCTGCGCCACCACGCCCAGCTAATTTTTATATTTTTAGTAGAGACAGGGTTTCACCATGTTGGTGAGGCTGGTCTCGAACTCCTGACCTGGTGAACCACTGCACCCGGCCCTGTTAATTTTCTTTGTCAACCAACCTGATCTGTATCTCCATCAGTGAATTGCCCTGGACTTACAAGATTAAGCAAGGAATTGCAGCTGTGTTGTTTCTTGCTTCTTTCCCAGTTCCCTGAGATGAATGAGGTCTGTCAAGAGGATGAAAGGAAGGGCAGCATCTTGATTCCGTTTGTCATCCAGAACCTGGGCCTCCTGACTGGATTCACCATCATGGTGGTCCTCACCATGTATTCAGGACAGATCCAGATTGGGTAGGGCCCTGCCAAGAGCCTGTAGGACTGGAAGTCGGGCCCTGGGCTGCCCGATCGCCAGCCGGAGGACTCACCATCCACAATGCACCACGGAAGAGACCGTTCTATGAAAAACTGACACAGACTGTATTCCTGCGTTCAAATGTCAGCCATTTGTAAAATGCTCTATCCTAGGAAAAAGCTGCTCTGGTAACCAGTCTCTAGCTAGTGCCTCTTGCCCTCTTCTCACCTTTTCTCTCAGTGACTCTGGAACCTGAATGCAGCTTACAAGACAAGCCTGACATTTTTCTCTGATTACCTTGGCCTCCTCTTGGAACCAGTGCTGCCAGGTTTTGAATCCTTTACCCAACAATGCAAAACGAGAGCCAGTGGTTAGAACTTGGCTAGAAATATCAAGAGTTGATTCCATAGCGTAGGGCCCATGACTCTCACTGGGCACCTTGGACCTCCAGCTGGCCAACAGAAGAGACAGGAGACAGGAAGCCTTCCCATTTTTTCAAAGTCTGTTTAATTGCCTATTACTTCTTTCAAAGAGAACCTGAAGTCAGAACACAGGAGCAGGGTGAGAGGCGAGGCAAGGTTCATCCTGAATGGGAGAGGAAGTCGAACCGCTGTTGTGTGTCTTGTCAGGATGCTCACTTGTTCCTACTGAGATGCTGGGTATTGATTTTGTAACAGCACCTGGTGTTTCATGGCTGTCCAAGTGAGCTAACGTGGCGGTGTGGCTGCCTGGACCCCCTCTTTCAGGTGAACAACTGACAGAATGGAGGCTCGGGCTGTCTGCAAGAAAACAGTTGGTTTGGCTGTGATTTTTACCTCCTCTTCCCCACTGCCATCTTCTAAGAGACTTTGTAGCTGCCTCCCTAGAAGCACATTCTGAGCACATTTGAGACCTGTGTGTTAGAGGGGAGACTGCACAAACTATCCTCCCCCACTGGTTGAGACGTCTGCAGAGTGGCAAGCTGAGTTGTAGAACTGGGATGCCATTTATGCTCTACTTAGACAAGGATAATCAGAAATGGAATCAGTGCAGGCAAAATTTAGGATTTACTGCTCCCATAAATCAAAGCATGACTAATAGGGGGTCTCTGAAACATAAGGTCACAAACTTCACTTAGGGCATCGCAGATGTTTGCTGAATGGCGGGCCTAATGATTCTGTTGCAGATGGGTTTTCAATGACCCGTCTAGGTTACTGCTTCCTTGCAAAAAAGTCGAATCCTGTATTGAATTGAATATGAATTGCTCTAACTCTCTCCAGAAAATGGATGGAGACACTTGTCTGCAAAACTGTAGGCCAGCCTCAGGCACTGTGGAGCCCTTGCCTCCGAGCTCTGGCTTCAAGGGGAGCTCATCTCCAGGTTCACTAGGTGAATTGATTTATTATTATCATATTGATAATGTGAGATTCTTTAGCCACTTTGGGGAGCCTGTCTCTCCAGAAGCCTTTCTTAGTGGTGCCCACAGTTGGAGCCCAGGGGCCATGTTTGCAAACTGATTCATGTGCGTGGCTGACAGGAGTACTGGTTCACTACCAATGCCTGAGCTTTTCTCTTACATAGAAAAACTGTCCACTCTCAGTAATCACAAGCAGCATCCATTTTGTTTTCTCTTCCTGGGAGACATCTCTCAAACCAGGAATATTCTTGAAAAGAACATGAGCAGGAAAACTGCTGGTGATTCTTTTTTTAAGTTTTGTTTTTATCTTGCCTGTTGGCTTCGGTACATTTGAGAATACGCTGTAGAGGGAGAATTTCAGTGATGGAGATTCTAGATTAAATATCAGGACTGATTTCCTGGTAAGATTATGGTCCAGTTTTACCAAAGAACCAATTCCTTGAATGTCGGAATCTAACTTTTTATATTGTCATTATTATTGTGGTTTTAAAATGGTTCTTCGTCTTTTCTGTTTTATTCTTCTCAAGCTGCTTTCAGGAGCTAGCAGAAAATAACTCAAAGTTGAAGACTCTGGAAGATTTTGCTTTAACCTAACTTGCATTGATGTATTAAATTTATAATTTTAGCATTCCCAATAGATCCTGTCATTCCTTAAACATAATACCCTTTGTGTTGGAGTAGAATATAGAGTTAGTGGATTTCTAGTTTAGGAGAGGAGCTCAAAACTATAATGTTTAACAAATTGAAATATGAAATAGGGTTTTTTTTTCCCTTTTTATGCACACCTATATTACCTTAAGGAATTTCCTTCCATAGACAGCTGCCTCAAAGGGAAATCCTCTTTAAACTGTCATTGGCGCAGAGGTCAGTCCTAGTCGGAGCTTGGGAGGGGTGGAGACGCTCACATCGTCTGACTTGAGTTGCCACTGATTGTGGCAACAGCTTTGCCCCATGAGTCAAAAACTGGTGATTTCTTTCGATTTTTAGATGTTGAATTTGCTGTTTCAAGCATTTGTACATATTAGAAGTCTAAGGAGTAGCAAGTCAGTGGGAGGACTTTTTCACCCCTGGCATTAGCAGCTTCAACCTTGTTTTCCACATGCACCAGCTCCTATTAATAAATTAGCAAGGAAAGTGTATGTCACGTGCAGGAACAGTGAGGCAGGGACAGGGGTTCTGCTCCTTCTCACCTCACCACTGGCGTGCAGCTTGCCCCTGTCTTTGCCCCCAAAGGTATTTTGTGTCTAGTATCAAATGGGAGCGATTCTTCACTGGTCCTTAACCTTGGGTTTTAAAAAGGCGGCTTCCCTGTTTGGGTAGCATAAGATCTGATTATAGTAAGTCCTCTTCCAAAGAGATGGCAATATGCTGGGCATCTGCTTCAAAAAAAAAGTGATTTTTGCAAGAGAGGTTAGGATTTTATTGTTCATATTTCCCTTTACAGTTCTGCAATTCCATCACAGTATTTTTTAAAAATAACTCAGGTGTTATGAGAAGAAATTAGAAAGGAAAATTAACTTATGTGGACTGTAAATGTTTTATTTGTAAGATTCTATAAATAAAGCTATATTCTGTAATTGTTGAGAATCCCACGTGTGATCATTTGCAATAAATGTAGATGTAATGAAGGCTGTTGAACACAAGGTGGCGATGGTGTCTCATAAAGTTTTGTTTTTACCAGGTCTGGTTCATCATCATTTGGGATTTTAGAAGGAGCTGTTTTTTGGTTTTTGGTTTTTGGTTTTTGGTTTTTTTTTTTTGAGACAGAGTTTTGCTCTTGTCGCCCAGGCTGGAGTGCAGTGGTGTGATCTCGGGTAACTGCAACCTCCGCCTCCCGGGTTCAAGCAATTCTTCTGCCTCAGCCTCCCTAATAGCTGGGATTACAGGTGCCCGCCACCACTCCCGACTAAATTTTGTATTTTTAGTAGAGATGGGGTTTCGCCATGTTGTCCAGGCTGGTCTCGAACTTCTGACCTCAGGTGATCAGCCCACCTTGGCCTCCCAAAGTTTTGGGATTACAGGCATGAGTCATTGTGCCAGGCCGAGAAGGAAACTTTTATACTCTCTTTTCTTTTTTTGAGAAAGGGTCTCACTCTGTCACCCAGGCTGGAGTGCAGTGGCACGATCTCGGTTCATTGCAACCTCCACTTCCCGGGTTCAAGCAATTCTCATTCCTCAGCCTCCTAAGTAGCTGGGACTACAGGCATGCGGTACCATGCCCAGCTAATTTTTGAATTTTTAGTAGAGACGGGGTTGTGCCATGTTGGCCAGGTTGGTCTTGGAACTCCTGACCTCAGGTGATCAGCCTGCCTCGGCCTCCCAAGATGCTGGGATTACAGGCATGAGCCACCGTGCCTGGCCTATACTCACTTTAAACCTAATTGGTTTCTCTCTCTCTCTCTCTAGATATATCTATCTTCCTGTATAGATAGATAGATAACTCTGTATCTATATATATAGTTTTATATCTATCTAAAGAGAGAGAGTGAGTTTGAACTCCCAGGCTCAAGCAATCTTACCACCTTAACCTTTTGAGTAGCTGGGACTAGAGGTGCATACCACCATGACTGACTGATTTTTAAATTTTTTTTTTTTTTATAGAAACATCTTGCTATGTTGCCCAAGCTAGCCTTGAACTCTTGGCCTCCCAAAGTCTGGAATTATAGGCGCAAATCACCAAGCCTGGCCAAAATCGGTTAGTTTATCTCTTTCGGAGGCTGTGATCTCACTGTTGCATGATCAAAGAATTGTGGTGTTTCCAAGAAGACTTTTCTGTCACCCTGTTTTCTCTTATGTAAACTTGAAACTTGTAATGTGTGCTTAGTTTGTTTCAGCCACATTTCTGTATCTTACAGGGAAAAGTCCTCTGCCAATGAGACTTAAAATGCTAAAGTTATTCTCATTCCAATTTAGTTGTAGGGTCAGGGATCTGTTTTTCTTCGACAACAGAAATGACTAGTAAGATTTTTTAAAAAGTTGGTTCAATCTTATGACTACCTCCATTAGAGATTTGCAAATGCCTGTTACTCCTTCCTTTGTTAAAACAAGAATAATATATGAAGTGGCTCGTGTTGGTCATTTAATTTGCATTACCTCACTACTACGCCATTTGCTGTCAAAATGACATTCACTCTGCCCTTCAGCTCCTGATACCTCGAGTCCTTTTCTGCCTGCAGTCCCTCCTGCCTTTCCAGGAGTCTGTCTCTGCATACCTCAGTTACAGGACTTGCATTGTAATTGCTATTCTTTGCATACCAAATTCCTTCTGGGTGGAGGCCGTATCTGGTTTCTTTCTGTGATGTCAGCACTGACCATATGGAAAGAATGAATGAAAAGACTAAATGAGCCAGGTGCAGTGGCTCACCCCTGTAATCCCAGCACTTTGGGGGGCCAAGGCAGGTGGATCACTTGAGGTCAGGAGT